CCTGGTCACAGTGTTTTAGGATTTGGTGTGGGGGCAGTGAGCCCTTCAACCTCCACGCTTGTCCCTTGAAAGCCCCATCGAGCCATCCCTCTGCCAGATTCTGGAGTCCAGATTCTTTGTTTCACAAGCACTGAGTCTTCCTGCTCCATTCAGCCTTTCAGGACCCCAAGCTCATCCCACTTGCTGCTGGAGATACAGACCACTGGGGTGTGAATGAGGACAATCTTACCTCTGGCTTATTGATTTAGGGAGGAGGAGACTAGGAAGCTTCTGGAAGCATAAAACTATGGCAATCATGAAGTCCTGATCTGGGGGGACAATTCCAGTTTTAGACAATTTCATTCACTGAATCTATGTTGTTGATTCCTCTCTTTCCTCGCCCTTTACATCCAATTGTTTTTGTTTTGTTTTTTGGGGTCTTTTTTTGCTGAGGAAGATTCACCCTGACCTAACATCTGTACCAATCTTCCTCTGTTTTGTATGTGGGTCACCACCACAGCATGGCTGCTGACCAGTCGTGTAGGTCCATGCCCTCAGGAACCCACCCCAGGCCACCGAAGTGTGGCTCCCGAACTTAACCATTAGGCCATGGGGCCGGCCCCCTCCAATTGTTTTTATTTTTGTGTGTGTAAGGAAGATTAACTCTGAGCTAACATCCGTTGCCAATCCTCCTCTTTTTGCTGAGGAAGATTGGCCCTGGGCTAACATCTGTGCCCATCTTCCTCTGCTTTATGTGGGACACTGCCACAGCGTGGCTTGACAAGTGATGCATCAGTCCACGCCCAGGATCCGAACCTTTGAAGCCCCGGGCCACTGAAGTGGAGCATGTGAACTTAACTGCTACACCACTGGGCCAGCCCCCTTCCAATTGTTTTTTAAGATATTAGTTCCTCTTCCAATCTATCTGTGCTTTTCCCCGCTCCCCCACCAGCTAGTCTAAGCCTCTGTAACTTCTTCTCTGGCAGAAAGCACTAGCCTTTGACCTCCCCTGTGCTGCTTTTGCCCTCTTTTGATACCCCGTCTTTTCCCCACAATAGCCAAAGTAAATGTTTTCAACATAAATCAGATCATTTCATTCGCTCCAGTGCAAAAACACCTCCCAATGGCTTACCCTTGCCTAAACTCTTCACCGTGACCTGAGAACTGATAGAATCTGGTCTCTGGCTGTTGCTTCAATCTCATAGCCTTCCAGTCACACAGGCCTCTTTTCTGTTTTTCAGAGATGCCAAGCCTGTTCCTGCCTTAGGGCCTTTGCACTGGCTGGTCCCTTAGCCTAGAACATTCTGCCCCGAGGTATCAGTAGGGCTGGTTCCTTTTGGTCATGCAGGTATTTCAGGTCAAATGTCGCTTTCTCAAAGAGACCTCTGACCACCCAATCCAAAGTAGCCTCCCCCTCCCTCCCTCCCTGTTATATTATCTAATCATGTGACTCAACACTCGTGACTACATGAAATTGTTCTTTTTACATTTTACATTTTTCCTTTGTTTTTAATTGAGGATATATACAGATGTTACAAAATTTAAAAGGTACAAGAATAAAAAGTGTCCCTCACTTCCCTGTCACCCAGACACAGAGTTCCACTTCTTCTCCTCAGAGGCAACAACTATTTCTACTTTCTAATATAACTTTCTAGATATATTCTCTAAAATAACAAATGTAATATATACTCTTATTTTTCTTCACACAAGGTAATGTGTACACAAATATATACTGTTCTATATCTTGCTTTTTTTGCATTTTAATTATTTTATTGAGGTCATATTGGCTTATAACTGTGTAAATTTCAGGTGTACATTATTATATTTCAGCTTTTGTATAGACTGCATTGTGTTCACCACCAATAGTCTAGTTTGTGTGTGTGTGTGTGTGTGTGTGTGTGTGTGTGTGTGAGGAAGATCGGCCCTGGGCTAACATCTGTGCCCATCTTCCTCTACTTTATATGTGGGACACCTGCCACAGCATGACTTGATGAGCGGTGCGTAGGTCTGCGCCTGGGATCTGAAGCCACAAACCCTGGGCCACCAAAGCAGAGGACGCGAACTTAACAGTATGCCACCCGGCCGGCCCCATCAATAGTCTAGTTTTTATCTGTCACCATACTTATGTGCCCCTTTACCCCTTTCACCCTCCCCCCACAATACATCTTGCTTTTTATACTTACCAAAAATATCACGAAGGTTTTTCCATGTCAGTGCGTTATAAATCTGCCCCATTCCTACTAATTTCTGTTCAGCATTCCATTGTAATTGTATGGATCTCCCTCAATTAATGTAATTCATTTCCTATTGATGGACATGTAATTGTTTCCATTTTTTTTCCTATTGAAAATAACGAACAATGCTGCCGTGAATAGCTTTGTACTTACACCATTTTGCGCTAGTGTAAGTACACCTAGAGCCGATGTAAGCATACCGAGGAGAGAAATTGCTGGCTAGAGAGTTTGTGCAAATTGCTGGATTAAAGGGTATGTGTATTTTACAGTCTGATAGTGCTAGATTTTCCTACGTAGTGGTCATACCAATGTGCTCCTACATTAGTGGTAAAATTATCTTAGTCTTTTGTTTGATACTTGTTTACTGCCTGTCTCCCTCCTCTGACCATGAGAAGGACAATGCCTTGTTTAGCACTCTGTCCCCAGAGCCTCACACATGGTCAACTGTAATAAATATTTGATAAATAAGGAAGCTTCATTGTAGACTATCCCCCAATTTTTGTTCTAAGAACATGATCACTTTGCCTATGAGCCCTCAGCATGCTGTACTATTTACCTTGTCTTTCTCTTCCTTGGACTGGGAACCATTTCTGATTCACCTGTTTTTTCTAGTGCCATGGCTGGCACCCAGTAGGGCTCAATAACCCTAAGCCTAAGGAACGAATTGATGACTTTGCAGGTTGTGACTCATATATGAAGCCAAATACAAGTTAGGAAGCAGATTAAGCTAAGGGGGCTCAGTGTGTGTGTGTGTGGGGGGGAGCTTCTGGGCTGAAAAGTTGGGAAAGGGGGAGGCCCCAGTAATTGTCTAGAGATGTAGGGCTGTGCTGGCAGAAAAACCCTCAAGAGATGTCCCAGGGAGACAACACCCCATCTGCCACAGAACAGCATCACAGAAGTCTCCACTGCTCCCCTCCACCTTTAACCTAGGACTGTTTTCTTCATCAGGTGTGGAGGCATGAGTTTTCAAGGACCTATGAAATGTTTGAGACCTGAACAAATTTGCAATGTTAGCTCCAAAATATAAGAAAACTACAAAAATCAATTAACATTTTATTAAATATATACAAAATGTAACATGTCAACTATTAACAGCAACTGAATTCAACTATATATAGTTATTTATAAATTTTATTTAATGTGGGGGTGTTGCCACATTTTAATATGTTTGATATGCTATAGGAAGAGGCCTCCGAAATTGGGACCTTAAAAGTTTTAAAAGAGCCCTATTTCTACCTGGGAGTTCTCTCAAAGGGAGAATCCCTGCTTTGTCAGGATTTCATCCTCTTTAATCCTAAATGTCCTCATCTTTAAATGGGGATCCTCGTAAAAGATTCATCCCAGCATTAAAGTAAGGAGAAAATGAAATAATGTATTATGAAAGGACTAATCTATCAAATGCAAAGTAGTATTAGCACTCCAGTGTTTCTGGTCAGCTCCTGGAGGGCTGAGTGGTTGTTTTCTTCATTTCAGCTTCCCAATCAGTATCAACTGGGTGCTCAACTCCAGGGGGCACTATTCATGTTGTATTTAACTTGAAAAGGCACCATTCACAGAAGATGCAATGTGAATGGTGCGCCCCTGAGCGCCATTCACAGAAAATATAATATGAATGGTGCCTCCTGGAGTTGTGCCTTGCCCAGCATGCTGCTAGAGCTAAGGGCTCAGGAAATGTTTGCCGAATGAGTGAATGAATGGAATCCAATTTTACTTCTTGCTCATTTCACCTCCCAAGATAAAAAGGAAAAGTTGATCAGGAGTGAAGAGAGTGGGGGAGGAGGAAAGCCAGTCATTAATCTACACACGCTAATTACGCATCTAGTTACAAGGCTTCAGTGCTTCAATGAGATGTGTGTGTGTGTGCGCCGGTGGTGGTGCGGGGAGTGGGGGGGAGATACTAAAGCAAGTATCCTATTCCCAAAAGTCTTCCTCTTAATTTTCCTTGAAATACTACACCTCTTCTATCTCAGCGTCGTCTGAATCCCGCTGGTAATTTGACAGTCCTGGATTTGGCACCCAAATTCTTACGTTGAATTACGTTGTTTATTCATTGAAAAAAAAAGGAGGGAGGTGGTTCTTAGCGCATCCGATGAGCCAAATTCTGTACTACTAGTGCTGGAAATAAAATGGTAAACAAGACAGCAGAGGTCCCCACCCTGCCTGGGGGAAACAGACCACTGTATGTTAAATCATTCTCCAGGTGTTATCACCCCAGAAGTGGTGTTTAAATTGAGACTAGGAGAATAAGCAGGAATGAGAACAAGAGTGATACAGACGAAGCCAAGCCAGGAGGCTTGAAAGACATGGCCCCGGGAGGTGGGCCTGGGGCAGGGGAGTGAGGGAGACCTGTGGCAGGGGCCAGATCGTGCAGGGCTTCTGGAGTTCTGATTTTATCCTGAGGTTATTGGGACTCCTTAAGAGGCTACTGCGGCTGTCTCGGCGACAGATGATGATGTCTTTAACCAGGGTGGTGCCAGTGGAGATGGAGAGAAGCGGACAGTCCCAGGTACATTGGGAAGTGAAATCCGACAGGGCTGGTGATAGAAAAATAGTCCTTCCACAAATAAAACGACCCTAGAGAAGAAACAAGACGGATGTTCATAAAAGACCACTTTATTCTGCTCCTTAATCCACCTGGCGTGCTCCTTCCCTTAACCCTGTCGCCTCAATATATGGACACGACAGTAAGACAAGGGGCGGGGCAGGCGCCCACAAAAATCCAGGAACTTTTATTTAAACTGGACGCTGGTCAGCGGAGAGTAGAATAAAGAGCACAAGGCACTTCCGGTTACTCCGGAAGTGGAGGTTCGTAAGCCCCTCCGCCGGCTGAAGGGATGGCCGGGCGGACGGCGCGGCTGGTGCTGCTAGCTGGGGCCGCCGCGCTAGCAAGCGGCTCCCAGGGCGACCGCGAGCCGGTGTACCGCGACTGCGTGCTCCAGTGCGAGGAGCGGAACTGCTCGGGGGGCGCACTCAAGCACTTCCGCTCCCGCCAGCCAATCTACATGAGCCTAGCAGGTAAGCCCCACCCCGCCGTAAGCCCCGCCCCTGCTGTTGGCCCCGCCCCTCGCACCCCCAATCCCCTTCTGCAACCTCTGAACCTTAGTGCCCCCGCCCACACCCCTGGCGTCCATTGTGAGTGTGAGTGAGTGGAGCCCGAGGGTGATGAGAGCCTTGTCAGCCGGTCTTACTTTCCCAAAAGCTTTCATTTACTTTTTATTTATTCCGTCAAACGAGTATTTACTTAGTACTCCTGGGTACTAGGCCCTGGGATAACACTGAAATCAGACCAGGGTCCTGCCCTTCGGGGCTCACAGTCCCCACGGCGACATTAGCCTTCTCAAGTGCAAGGTAGAGGATGATTCGAGCCCTAAGGGACCTTTAGATTAAGCAACAGGAGCATGTGAGGGAGGAAGGAATGTTTCTGGCCTTGGGGGGTGGGGGCAGTGATCACCTTGGAACATTCTGTGAAGGAAGGGATTCCGGATGGATACATTAAATTTGGACCTGTGGCCATAGTAGACACCTACTGTGTCACAGGTGTCACAATAGGTCTGTTAATTTTCACAACAACCCTCTGAGGTGGTTTCTCTTAACCTGATTTTACAGAAGGGGAAAATCAGAGAGGTTAAGTGCCCTGCCTGAAGTCACACAGCCAGTAAGTGGTAAAGTAGAGTTTCCAGTTCTGACCTGTTTGACTACAAGTTTGTTTTCTTTACTATCCCTTTGCATTCCAGACAGAGGGAGCGGAGAGAGTGGAGGCCCTGGGCAGATGTGGGCACATCCAGCAGCTTGGTTTACTCAGGGAGCAGGGTGCATGAAAAGGAGTAGTGGCAAATAAAGTTGGAAAGGCAATTTGGGGCCTCAAGTCAGACTGAAGAATTTGGGCTTCATTTTCATAGGAGGAGGGTAAGATGGCAAGGCTTCCTCCCTGGGGAGTGAGAGCAAATCCTCTGTTCAGGAAGGGCAGACATAAACCCAAGTATCCGTAGATGGGTCCATCAGATGCTAAGATCCCCATCTTGGGGGAAAGGAGAAGAGAAGAAACCTCTGTTTGCTCACTGTACACCCCCACTTCCTAAAACCACACACACACCCCTTTCCCTTATGTGTATGTCCCACCATCTCTCCTCCATCCAAGCGGGAAGCGAGAATTTTGAGATTTCTTCTGGTTCTCTCCAACCTGCAGGCCCTCTTGGCCTGCATTTGAGCTTGGGCCCCATTCAGGCTTTCTCTTTGCCTCCTGGTGCTGGGGAATTCACCAGGCCAATTTATCTGTTTCAGGCTGGACCTGTCGGGACGACTGTAAGTATGAGTGTATGTGGGTCACCGTTGGCCTCTACCTCCAGGAGGGTCACAAAGTACCTCAGTTTCATGGCAAGGTGAGTTGGAGGGACAAGGTAGGTATATGGTGGGAATGTGGTGGGAATAAGATACCCCCCAGTTGGATACACTGTCCAAGCAGTCTGAGGTGTGGGGTGATGGGTGTGAATTTGGGGCAGGTACCTGTTCTTCTCAAAATATGCTGGTTCTCATATAATCAGATGGGACCAGTGTCTCCTGCCTTGGATTTGGAGTGACAAGATCTGGGAGGCTTTGGGGTCTCCTCAGAGAGTGGTGCTGGGCTTCTTAGGGTAGTTGAGGTGCCCACTTTGCTACAAGGACAAATTCCTTGACCCACCATGGCAAGCTTTCTGTTGCTTCTTCGTAAGAATCTGGATTAAAATACTAATACCCCCTCAGATTGCCCAGCAAGGCACAGTTTGCTGATGCCTGTTGATCCAACGTGATCTTGGTCTAGCCTGTCGAGATTGGCAAGAATTATTCTCCCTAATTTGTCACAGAGTAAGCTGAGGCTCACAGGGCTGTGGTCAGTGGTGGAGGAGGGGTTAGGACCTCTGTCTTCTGGATGGCAGGTCTATGCTGTTTCCACCAGGCCATACTGAGCCGTCTACACTGGCCCACCTGGTCTTCCCAGAGACCAGGCTTACAGTGCTGTGAGTGCTGGCCAGGCTGGAGGGATGACCCTCAGCCAGGGACTGGAGGGGAGCTCATTAACCCGAAAAGGGGCTGAACTTGAGCTTTGGCCAAAGTCGAGAGCTGAAGAACCAGCCGGGGACCTGTTGATGCAGCATGTCAAGCAAAGGTAGGTTGGGCCATCTGAGGGTTGCTTGCCCCTGAGGCCCCCTCTATGTGCTCCTTTTTCAGTGGCCCTTCTCCCGGTTCCTGTTCTTCCAAGAGCCAGCTTCTGCTGTGGCCTCGTTCCTCAATGGCCTGGCCAGCCTGGTGATGCTCTGTCGCTACCGCACCTCCGTACCAGCCTCCTCTCCTATGTACCCCACCTGCGTGACCTTCGCCTGGGTAGGTAACCTGGCAAGATTCCTGCTTTACACCCTCATCTAGGAAGGAGGAACTCTTAGATCCCCATTCTCACCCACCAGGGCTTCTACCCACCTAGCTTCCCCTCTGTTTTCCAGGGTAAAGTTTCAGCTGTGGGGTGGTCAGGCCTGGGGAGAAAACAGGGAAGGTGCTGAATTTGTCCTTATCTTTCTAGCAGAGTCCTAGGTCGGGCTGTTTGAGAGGGAGGGAGAGAGGAAAGAAACCTTGTTCTCGTCCTGAAGGAGGAAGCCACTAAAAGATCCAGTAGGGCAGTTTACAAACAGAGAGGGAGATGGGTGGTAGGGAGCATGCTGGGACTACAGGTCTTTCCAAGGACCCCTCTGGGGGACTTGAAGCAATCTCAACTCCAGTCCCGGCCTGGAGGCATTGGCAGCCACAGCACTCCATGTAAAGGTGAGCCTGGTCTTACACCATGCCTAGAGAAGCCGAAATATGTTCCATCTAAGTCTCCAAAGAGGGCTCTGAGCTTCACAGTGTGACTGGTCAGAGGAGCCAGCATCCAGGGCCTGGAATTGTGGGAAAGCATGGACTGCGGTACCGATAGGAACTGTGACAACCTTGGGGAGAGTGCGAGAGTAAGAGCTTGCGATGGATGTCTCTAGATCAGAGCTGCCTTAGGGAAACATCCCCACTCACTCACCTTCCTGCCATCAAAGCAGCCATCCATTCATATGTTGAGCACCTACTGTGTGCCAGGCACTTTGCTGGGCGCTGGCAATCCAAAAGTATGTAAAAACAGACGAGTCCCTGCCCTCTGGTACTAACCACACAGGCACACAATTGAATGTAAAGGTGCAATGGATGAGAGGTGCTGTAGGTGTGTGATGGGGGCCCAGACCAGCACAGAGCAATGAGGGAAGGCTTCCCTGAGGAAGGGGCATTTGAAATAAGATCAGAATGATGAGTGAATGTTAACTAGGTGAATTCAGGGAGAGTAGGAGGAGTCATCTACATGGAAGACTCAGAATGTGCACAGACAGAAGAGAGCTCACGTTATATGAGGACCTGAAAGACCAGGAGGCCTGCCATGCCGGAAGCCAGGGAGTGGGGTGTGAGACGGGTGCACAGGTGGGCAGTGGGTGGGCTCAGCCCCTGGAGAGCCTGGGGGTCACATTAATGCTTTAGATCTTGACTCGCAAAGCATCAAGAAGTAATGAGGGTTGGAGAAAAGGGGTTTCATAAATAGATTTGCTTGGAAAACTCATTCTGGCTACTGTGTAGAGAACCAACTGGAGGGGGCAGGCATGGATGCAGGGGGCTAGTTGGTAGTTTTAGCAGAGGGCACAGTAGCTAGACTAGAGAGGTGGCACAGGTCTTGGAGGGAGGGTATTAAAGAGAAGTGTGTTTGAGCTGTGTTTTGGAGGTGACATTAAAATTTTTAAAGATGTATTTATTTAACAAATCCATACATAGCTCTTACTGTATGCCAGGTACCGTTCTATGCATTTTATAAATATTAACCTTGTTAATCCCATAACAAGCTTATGAGATAGGTAGTATTATTATCCCCAGTTTACAGATGAGGAAACCAAGGACTGGAAAGGTTAAGTAACCTGCCCTAGCAGCCAGGGTTTGACTCCAGGCATCTGGCTCAAGAGTCCAACTGTTACCATCCGGGCTGTGCTGACAGCCGCAGCAGTCGGTTAGATGAGGAGAGGACTCAAGGATGACCCCTGTCTTTCCGCTGATGAGCCAGTGATAGAAGCTGTGAATGTGGATGGGACCTTAGCAAGAAGAGAAGGGGTCTAGGAAGGAGCCTTGAGGAACTCCAAAACTGAATGGCTGGATAGAGGAGGATGAGCCAGCAACGGAGACAGAAGGAGTGGCCAGAGGGGTAGGTGGGAAACTAGGATATCATGTGGTTGGGGGAGCCCTGGGACAAGGACAGGAAGGAGAGGGTGGTCCATTCTCCTGAATTCTGCTGGACAGTCAAGTAAGAGGACAGCTGAAGGACGCTGCTGGATCTGGCGACCCGGGGTCTCTGAGGACCTTAGGAAAACTGATAGTGTAAGGTGCCGAGAAGTCCGGGCCGAGCCTCAGACTTGGGAGATGGGATCAGAAGGAGGGTGGAGAAGGAGGCTGTTAATAAGCCTCTGGGAAACGTTGATCCTCCCTAATACTTTCTATTCAACAAATACTAATAATAATTGTTATGAATTATGGAACACAAATCACCTGATGGACATTGTCCTAAGTTCTTTATATACATTTTCTTGTTTAATCCTTACAATACCACCATGAGCTCTGAGTAAGGCTTAGAGGGGGAAAAACTTGCCCAAAGTTAACAGCTAATGAGTTAGTGAATAACGGAGAAGGTTGGTGTCCAGGGCTGTCTGACTCCGGGTCAAGCACTCAGCCTCTCTTCAGGCTGTGCATGCACCGTGATCAGTGTTTGTTGAGTGTTTGCTGTGGGTAGAGACAGGGGTTGCACTTGTGGGGGCTGAAGCCCCTGCCTAAGAAGCTGAGCCTAGTGGGAGGCGCAGCTCCAGCCAGCCTGGGAGTTAGAATGCAGGCAGAGCCGAGGCGGGCTCGGGCAGAGAGCCGTGGGAGTTGTAAGGTGGGGAGACCATGTCCTCAAAGTGGAAAAGTCTGTGAGGAAGCCCAGGGAGGAGGAGAGGTTTTCTCTGGGACCTGCAGGGCTAGTGAGGCTCAGACATGCACCTGTAGGGGAGAGGAGGTTGGGTTCCAGCATTCCAGGCTGGGGGCACAGCAGGAGCAAAGGTACAGAAGCTAGAGAGTGGGAGACCTGGACAGGCAGCCTTGGGAAGGTCAGCCTGCCACAGTGTGGCTGTGTGAAGGGGAGTGCAGGGAGATAGGATGGAGCAGAGAGGGCCCTGAGTGCCAGGCTGAGGGGCGGGAACTCTTGTGTAGGCAGGGGCCTGGCATCAGCACACCCCGTCACAGGCATGGGTGGGATAGAGCCCCCACTTCCTGTTTAGGCCTCTCGCAGAGAAGGGTGTTTGGTCCTGGCCTAGAAAGCAGGAAGGGCAGGGAAATTAAAGAAGTTACACCTGTCCTCTTTCCTTTGGGGTTCTTCCAGAGACACTGCTTTCTGGGCCCACCGCCTGCACTGCCCCCTCACCCCTGCCCCTAGTAGAGAGCACAGGACAGCCCTGCCCAAACTCTCTGAAGAAAGCTCAGAGGCTCTTTGGATAGACCAATGGGTCTGTGGGAACCTCTGAGGTGCAGCCTTTGTCTTCATGACATGTGCCGGAAGCACTGGTCACTTCACAACTCGTGTTTTGATCTCCCTGATTCTTGAGTTTTTCATCTCACTGGCAGCTGCCGCTCAGCTCCCTTCTTGGTGAGGGTCACACCTCCCAGGGGTGCCCTGCAGTCCAGCATGACTGAGGACCCTTAGGGACAGAGCAGGACATATTAGGTTGGGTGCCTGGGGCCTGCATCTCAGGGCATCTTTAGGGATATGGGGTTCATGGACAGGGGATTCCGTCATGCCACCACCAGGCCCTTGAGGGACAGAGTCTCAGCACTGGCCCACACTCCCTTTGATGATCCCATTTGGATTTTACATCTGATCTTTAGTCCTGTGTGTGTGTGTTTGCAGGAGGGAGGGATCCTGAGCTATACGGAAGGTGTGCCTGTGGACTTTGTCCTAGGCTGGGTCTTCTGGAGCAAGTGGGGCTCCTGATTTCTGTTGGGGTGGAGTAGGAAGGCCCCTCACCTGCTCCAGGTTAGATCTTGGGGGTGTGGTCTCAGTCTTTTTCTCTGGGAAATGAGGGACTCTGTCCCCAGCAGGGCTAATGAAGCTTTGGCACAAGGAGGCAGTCTCTGCCTTGACATGTAGACCTGGGCTTGGGCTGGGCAGCAGCCAGACTTTGGGGGAGCCTGCCAAAGCTGTGTGCACCACAGACCTTTGACTTCGTGGAGCTGGGTGCTCCTGCTCTCTGCCGAAGCTAGAAGGCCACACCAGTTCCACACCCCTTCATCCAGCAAGGAAAGGTCCTCAGGGCTAGAGGTGAGAGAGTGAGGTGCCAGCAAAGCCAGGATGATGGATGGAGGTGGGGGCCGATTGTGCGCTACCTCTGCTGAGGAAACTACGAGAAGAGAGAGGTTGAAGCTGCAGCAGAATGATGGTTAGACTTCAGGAAGGATTTCCCTACGGTCAGACACGAGCCAGTAGAACAGGCAATGGCAGGAAATCAGGGAATCCTTTTTTTTTAATTTTTTTTGTGAGGAAGATCAGCCCTGAGCTAACATCCATGCCAATCCTCCTCTTTTTTTTTTTTTTGCTGAGGAAGACTGGCCCTGAGCTAACATCCATGCCCATCTTCCTCCACTTTATGTGGGACACCACCACAGCATGGCCGGACAAGCGGTGCATCGGTGTGGGCCCAGGATCCGAACTCAGGTCGCCAGCAGCGGAGCGCGCGCACTTAACTGCTACGCCATGGGGCCAGCCCCTAAGGAATCCTTTTTGATGGTGGAAAAAGCCCTCCTTCTCCCATCTCCATCCACCTCTTTGCCCTTCTCTCTCAGGAGTGAACTGGGTCAGGCCTGCCCTGCCTGAGGCAGGGGTTGAGACACGGTGGCCTCTGTGGGGGCCTGGGGTGGCAGCAGGCGTCATATTTAACATTCTGCCTCCCCCACTTCTGAGACACCGAGCTATTTAAAGACCCACTTGTCCCCACTGCCACGGTGTCAATGACAGCCCCGAGCACTGGGGCTTAGCACTGGGGTCGAATTCCTGACAGATCTGGCTCACTTGGCATCCAACCGGTTTCATAGTGGTGATATTTTTGTCTCAATTTTCTTATTTTCCAACAGACTGAAACAGCCTCCTGCTCCCCCTCACCCAGCCTTCCCTGTCCCCCTCCATTTCCACTCTCGTTGGCACCCTGCCCCGGCCTCCCCCTTTCCTCAGTGTTTACCGAAGTTCTTGGTGCCTGCTGGGCCAGCCCATTGCCCTCCTGGCCTGTCTGATTGGCCAGTTACCCAGTCTGCCCCCCTCACTCTACTCAAGCTTGGCTAAGGAGTCCAGGAGCAGGCATACTCTTGCGTCTTGGGGGCTTTCCTTTCCTTCCACGTCCATCCATCCCCTTTGCTTGAGTCTTGATGACAAACTCTGAGTGAAGAGAAATAGTATCTCTGCAGTGCATCCTGGGATTGTGGCTCAGGAGCAAGGAGCAGGGGCCTCTTCCTATAGCTGAGGTGTCTGCATTCTGGGATCAGGAGACCCTGGGGCCCCATGGGTTTGACCTGGAGCATTGTGACCCTTGAGGAAGAGGGAGGTGGACGTGATGAAGGAAACAGACATATGTGGAGCACCCACTGTGTGCCAGACAGCAGTAACAGCCACCATTTACTGAGTGGCTTCTTCGTGCCAGGCATTTCACAGACCTCATCCTCATGACCCTCTTATGCAGTGGGTACTGTTATTAGCCCCATTTTGTAGGTGAGGCAACTGAGGCTCAGAGAAGCTGTTATTTGTTCAAGATCACATAGCTATTTAGGAGCCAAGGCAGAACTTGAACCCAGGGTCCATCTCGTTGTGGAGGTTACAGACATTCTGCCCCCAGCCTGGAACTGTGGCATGGGCTAGGCAGCTGTGGGGAGACCACCCTTTCTCCCCCTAGACTTCCTTAGCCTACAGGGAGAGGAGGAGGCAGACTTGGCCTTTTCAGCCTCAGGTCTGTGGAGAGGTGTGAAGGTCCCCACTTGGTCAACAAGGTGGAGAGAAATAACATCTAATGTTTTACCCTGTCCTGGGCACTGTGCTGTACACTGTACTTGTTTTGCTTGTTAAATTCTTATCAACACTATGATTATTCCCATTTTACAGATGAGAAAACTGAGGCACAGCAAGGCTAAATAACTTACCCAAGGACACACAGGAAATGCAGAGCTGGGATTTGAACCCTGGCAATCTGGCCCTAGGGCCTGCATTCTTAATGACACTATCTCCCAAATCTGAGGAGAGGGGTCAGAAGAGGAGCCCCCCATAATGGGACACTCCCCAGGGGAGAGGGGACTTTTCAGGGGTGCAGAGTTCAAGCTTAAGGTGGGTCTCTGTAAGTGGAAGGCACCCCGGGGAGGCGGTTGGACAGGGGACCAAGCAGCCCCCAGCCCCGTCCTGTAAAGCTAAGCCCTGGCCCTGTGCACCACCCCCCCATGCTTTCAGTGTTCCAGCCACCACTTAGCTCAGTCCTCCTGTCACCTCCCCCTTCCTGCTGTGGGTGACAAGGAAGCCTGGCTGGCTGCCAGTCCCTGCTGCCTTCCCCTCCGCCTCCCTTTCACACTGGCTCCAGGGCCACTCTCCTCTCCAAGGATGTCCCTGTTCCTGGCCTCCGCAGGAGACCTGGCCCCGTGATTGCCTGGGCCCTGTGTCCAGCCCCGAGCCTGCTCTGCTCCCTATGCTGACCCTGAGTGTCAGACTCTGTGGACAGTATCCAAGAAACCACACTGTTCTGTCCCATTCTCCAGCCTCCAGACCATGCCCCCGTCACCGTCTCTGGGGAAGGAGCAGCACCAGGGATGGGACAGGATGGCCATCCTCAAAGGAGGAAGCAACCTGACCTAGAATAGTCAGCTGACATCAGGGCTGGAAGGGGACAAAGGATCACTTAGGTCAGCCCCTGATTTGTCCTGGGGGAAGCTCAGGCCTTTGCCCAGGTCATGAGGAGCATAAGTAGCAAGGCTCAGCCTAGGACCCAGGCCACACACACAGACTTGCACAGGGCTACCTGAGCCTCCAGAGACTTCCAGGGCTGACTGGCTTTGCAACAGAGCCCTGCCGGCCTCCACCCCATTGCTTTTCCCATTCTCTCATGAGCCCCCTCGGGCCTGCATTAGGGAACTCATCCTACTGTCTGGCCTTCCTGCAGCAGTACCAGATGGAGAGTGGCTTCTTACCCCGCTCCCACTGTCCCTGCCTGGCCAGCTTTCCTGGTATACTGGACCCCCGAGTGAGCAGTTCCTGGCCTTCACCCATCCCAGGCAGGCCTGTCCTACCCTAGCGCATCCCTCCCTACCTCCAGGGCGTTCCAGGCCAGACCTCGGCTGGCTGTTCCTTTGATGGGTTGTCACTGGTTTCCCAGCCTTTCCTTCCAGCCCAGTGTCTGGATCTCCACCCCAGCCCACCCTTCTTTCAGTCATTTGGGCGTCTGCCGTGGATACAGCAGTCTTTGAAAAAAGCACCAGCTCCCACAAGATCTAGGGCTCATTTGCAAGATGATTTGTACTCTCTCCTTGCAGTTAATTTCCAGGAAAAAGGCCTTAAATGTTCCCCTGGGCTCTTGCCCACTCCAGCCCCTCTAGCCCTGCTCTTCTGCTCCTCCCAGAGCTCGGAGCAGCAGCCACTGGTCTGGCGGGTTGGGCCGGCCCAGCCAGGAGGAAGCTGGGCTTGGTTGGCCGGCCTCCTCCTCTGAGACTTGGCCCCAGTGGGATATGCTTGATCTCCCTCCCTTGCTTGCTTGCTCAGGACACACCCCAAGCTGGCTCGAGCCCCTCCACCCCACCCACTTCATTCCCGCCCCCAGAGGCTGAGGTCACTGGCTCCCCTGGCCCGGGTGGGGCTGTCATCACCTGCTCGTTGGGGGAGGAGGCGAGGCCCCCCGGGGGCTGTTGTCTTAGCGATTGAGTAACCAGGGAATTTGGCTCTGCCGGAACTGGTTCTCAGGCCAGGCCGGAACCTGTGGAGGCCGCAGCCCAGCCCCCGTGGCCTAGGGGATTGGGGGTGGTGGGAAGCGGAGCCTTTGGGAGTGGGCTGGGTGGGGGTGAAGGGGCACAGGTTTGTTCCTGGGCTCCAGGGGCAAGGGGAACCACATTTCTGTGCCCCAGGAGCCCCTTCCCAAAAGTGAGATGGGTGTGAGCTTTCTGGGGGCCTTCCCCACCTTGCAGTGCCACACTCACCAGCCTCCTCCCTCCTCAGGTCTCCCTCAATGCTTGGTTCTGGTCCACAGTCTTCCACACCAGGGACACCGACCTCACAGAGGTGAGCGCCTCCCCTTCCCTCTCCTGCTTGGGACAGTCCCAGGAGCCCAGGAGGGGCGGGGCGCAGCCGGCTCTGAGGTCTCACCTTGACTCTGTTGATGGAGCACGTGCTCTATGCTGGGCATTTTCAACCTGTTAGTGCACTTGAGCCTCACTTGACCCTTGTGAGGGAGGTGTGATGATGGGCTCTTCCTAACTGATGAGGCAGCTGAGCCTTGGAAAGGCGAAATCACTGCCCAGGATCGCCCAGCCAGTGAAGGGGTGCGGTCAGGACTTGAGCCCAAGCTGTCGAGCTCCAGACTGCACCCTGAGTTCTGTGGCATGCTCTTGTGTTCTGGACTTGTGACAGGCACCCTCCACCAAGGCCTCTAAAGCCTCCTGCTGAGCTCTTTTTTTTTTTAATTTTATTTATTTATTTTCCCCCAAAGCCCCAGTAGATAGTTGTATGTCGTAGCTGCACATCCGTCTAGTTGCTGTATGTGGGACGCGGCCTCAGCATGGCCGGAGAAGCGGTGCGTTGGTGCGCCCGGGATCCGAACCCGGGCTGTCAGCAGCAGAGCGCACGCACTTAACCGCTAAGCCATGGGGCCGGCCCTGAGCTCATTTTTTTAAAATTGTATAATGTGAATACAAGGGTCATTCTGTTAAATTCAGGAGTGAAACAGCAATAGGCAGAAGGAGCACAAGCCATGGTCCCCTCTGACCATGGCCTAGGACTCCCATGTTAGACTCCGCTGCGCTCTGCCGCCCCTCCTTGCCCCCATCCCTGGTGGGTCCTCTCTGGGCCCTGCCCTCCACGAAGCCTGTCCGCTTCCGACTTCCCTCACACTGGCCCCTCATCCAGCTCTCCCTGTCCTCAGAAAATGGACTACTTCTGTGCCTCCACCGTCATCCTGCACTCAATCTATCTGTGCTGTGTCAGGTGAGCCGCCTTGGCTGCTGCAGGGGCAAATTCAGGCCGTGGGGGAGGAAAGGGGTCACCCAGCCCTCCCTTGGGGGGGCCTTCCTTCTTCACCAGTCCCTCCACACACACACACATACCCTCCGGGCTGTTCTGGCTGGGGACTCAGGTAGGCCTAGGGGCCCTGGCTCTTTCCAAGGAGCTGTGGCACTTGGTCCAGGGCCCCTGGGGGATTGGAGGGCTGCCCAGGTGGCCTGTTTTGGTGGGGGAGGGGCAGTGGCTTCCAGGACCACTTCCTGATGTTGGGGTGAGGGAGTGCTTCAGGGCGTGCTGCTCCATCTGAGCAGCTGTGGATGGCGGGGCAGGACCGTGGGGCTGCAGCACCCGGCTGTGGTCAGTGCCTTCCGGGCCCTCCTGCTGCTGATGCTGACCGCGCACGTCTCCTACCTGAGCCTCGTCCACTTCGACTATGGCTACAACCTGGCGGCGAACGTGGCTATCGGTGAGGCGGGACTGGGGCTGCGTCTGCAGAACTGCTGGCTTGGGGTGGGAGTAGGGGGTTGGTGCTGTTCCTGGAGAAGGAGTTTCTAGAGAGACCCTTACTGCCAGGGAAGGAGAAAGAATTTGGAGTGGGAGAGGGGGTGCTGGGAGGAGAGCCTGAGGATGGTCCTGGTGTCAGAGCATGGGGAAGAGGGAGGCCTTGCAGGGGAGAAGGAGTCCAGGGGTGAGCCTCTCCCCGCCCCCCACACCCAGGCCTGGTGAACGTGGTGTGGTGGCTGGCCTGGTGCCTGCGGAACCGGCGGCGGCTGCCTCACGTGCGCAAGTGCATGGTGGTGGTCCTGCTGCTGCAGGGGCTGTCCCTGCTCGAGCTGCTCGACTTCCCACCTCTTTTCTGGGTCCTGGATGCCCATGCCATCTGGCACATCAGCACCATCCCCGTCCATGTCCTCTTTTTCAGGTGGGTGCTACTCCCTGCCCAGGGCTCACCTTCTTTGTGCCCCTCCTCGCCTGTTCCTTAGAAGAGACCGGGGTCTCTGTGTGCCGGGTCGCCCCCTCCCAGCTTGCCTGCACTCACCCCACCCTGCCCCCAGGGGGCCACTCAGAGCTGTGCCTCAGTGGGCTCCTCCCTCGGCCCACAGCTTCCTGGAAGATGATAGCCTGTACCTGCTGAAGGAATCAGAGGCCAAGTTCAAGCTGGACTGAAGGCCCTGGGAGCGTGTCTGCCCCACGGGGGATCCTGCCCCGTCCCTGCTGTCTCCCCTTCTCCCCCAATCTTTGAGATGATTTTTTCCTTTTAGCATCTTGACCTTGGACATGAAGGGTGTGGGCCCAGAATCATGTAACCTGCCCACCACTTGCTCGCCCCCACATTGCCCTCACAGGTCTTTGGTGTCTATTTGGGCCTGGCCTCTCAGCATCTGGGGCTCGAGAATGGGCAGCCTCTCTGGTTCCTGGAGCTGAACTGGGGTGGAACTGTGTGCTTAGCTCCACTGAGAGGAGAGCTGCCTCCTCCTCGAATCCCCTCACTGCCTGAGTGGCTCCCAGAGCCCTCTGTCTAGCTGGGAGATCAGATGCTACAGGCCATTGGCGATAAACAGGGGTTCCCTTCTGTCACCCACCCCCTGCCCTCCTCCAGGGCACCACTAGGTGGCACTAGACACTTGCTCTTTGGCTGCTATAATTTTAAGGCAGGTCTCATTCTCCCCATGGGATCTTGAGGGACCAAGCTGCTGGGACTGGGGAGGAGTCTCACCCTGACTGTTGCCCCAGCCAGACCCTCAGGAGGCCTCATCACACCCCCTCTTCGGGGCCAGGACCGAAAAGAGCCCAGGACAGGAATCCCTCTGAGCCCTGTGCTACTGTTGTGGTTGGGAGCCTGCATACAACTGTGTAAGGGAGTGTGGGCAGGACTGAGTGTGTAGGTGACGTGGTGGTGGGCCCAGGCCTGGGGGGTGGGGGATGCTGGGTGGGACAGTGTGTGTGAGCACCAGCCTGGGGCAGTGTGTGGGGTAGGGGTGAGTGGTTTTACAGTGTGTGTTGGTGGGATAGGTGGGTTAGCGTGGGTTAGGGGAATATGCATAGACTGAGTGTGAGGTGAGTGTGCCACACAGTGAGGGGAGGTTGGAGCAGGATGGGGGAATCAAGTCACCATCAACAACCATTTATTGAGCACCAACTCTGCACAAGGCCCCAGGCCAGGCAGAGTCAGGATATCCTCAAGATCTGGCTGGGGCTACGGGTGTCCAGGCTGCATGTGTGTGTATGTGTTCTTGTCCATTGCCCGCCTCCTTTGCAAACTTCACAGTGCCCCACACAACTCAAGATCACCCTCCAGAACCAGTCCCCCCTCAGGAGGCAGAGGGAGGAAGAGAAATGGAGGTCCTCTGGGCCTCTCCAGCCTCCCTGTCTCCTTGGCTAGGCATGGTTGGCCTCCCCCTCTGGCAGTGCCCTGCCTGCTAGCCCCTTCCCCACAGCCTGGACCTTGGGAGGGGGAGGGGCCCTCTGAGGGAGGAGGGGAGGAGGCTTGTGACTGGGTCTGGTTTCTGGCCTCCCCAGAGGCAGGCAGGGGCCACGCTGTGCCTGCACTCCAGTAAAGGTGACCCCTGCCAGTTGCCGGCAGCCCTAGCACATTCCTGCTCCACAAGGATAGAATGTGGAGCTCCAGAAACTTTCCATCCAAAGGCAGTCTCTGTGATTAGAGCAGGCAGTCTGGATTCTTGTTCTTTCCCTGCCCCCTTGTCCCTCCCCGGGAGTAGGGCACTATGCTAGGACTCCAGTCTCAGGGACTTGGGTGGCCTGTATTAGTTTCTTTTGATACTGAGAACTATTTTAAGGTAGGAGGGTAGCAAGGGACATTCTTAATAAACCAATTCTCAGCCTCCCTGACCCTTGTTCAGCTCATTTGTGTGAGTAGGGTGGGCCAGAGACAGTGGACAGGTGGGGCCTCTGCTTAGGCACGTGGGGGTGGCAGGGTGCAGATGCAGAGCGACAGTAGAGCTGGGCAGAGCTCCAGTCCAGCTTGTGGAGGGGGACAGGGGAGGGAGCTGGTACCCGTTTTCCCCTCTCACTTCATGGGGACCTTTGTTTGCAACTCCACCCCACTGCAAGTTCCACTTCCGTCTCCTAAATATACCCTCCTGTTCCCTTCTGGTCCTAGGCTCCACTACTGTTTGTTCTTAACCTTTCTGAGCTTCACCTGCAAACAGGATAACAGGACCTGCTGCTGAGTGTGAGGACCCAATGGACCTAACAGGCACCTGGCACACAGCAGATGCTGAATGAGCTCCCCCTGACCGTGGCCTGCTTTAGTTTGGGAAGAATGAGTGGTACAGAAACCTATCTTCATGGAAGTTTCTGGAAAAAAAGGCTAAGGTTGGTGCCTCCCACACGTCCACAATACAAGAGAGCTCTGAGCCCTTGTTGCTTCCCAGGAGAGCCACAGACAGTGCTGACACTCAGCAGCTGGGCCTTATTTCTTTATTAGGTGCCACTTCAGATAATAGGGAATCTGGGTGGGTGAGGGCCGTCAGCACTGGGTGCACTGGGCCCTCACACCCCCACCTTCTTTTGGGCCCAGGTGAAGAAGATGCCCTTGACATCGTCTACACCTGTCTGCAGGCGGGCAGGCATGATGTAGGTGCGCAAGTCCCGCACCTCATAGCCACTGTGCTCCAGGGCCTCCCTCACCTCCTCCTCACACACTGGCACCACCGCCAGCCTGGCCTCCCCAGCCAGGTACCACGACTCCTCCAGGGCCCCGATGAGGAGGAAGTGCCCCCCAGGCCTCAGTAGCGTAGTGATGTGGTCCAGGGCCCGCTGGAAGCTGGCGAGGTCTGGGCTCACAGCCTCCAGGCAGAAGGCAGAGACCAGGGCATCAGCAGGCAGAGGCGCTAGGCTCCCAGCACCCAAGGGCTGGGGCTGGTGCACATCAATGGGAAGGACCCTCTTCACCCTGGCTCGCAGCTGGCGCTCCTTCTCCTGCCAGGACTCACTGATGGGGGGCAGAAGGCAGAGTCAGGACCAGGGCTCAGGACTGCCACATGCCCAGTTCTCTTGCCCCCCACCAGCCACTCCATGGGAAGCCCCCTGGCCACCCTGATCTCCTAGCCCTTACCCCTTGCCCTCGATGAGGCAGACGTGCTGGCTGTACATGCTCCAGTCGAAGGCCCCGGGCTCTTCCCGCAGCCAGAGCCCCAGTTCCTGGCGGTTCACCTCCAGGAAATCTGTCATGGTGATGTCCTCAAAGTGGGCGCAGGCGCTGAGCAGCTGGTATATGGTGGGACCTGAACCAATGTCAATGAGGGTGCGTCCAGACACCTCACCTAGGCGGGGCAGAGGAAGAGTCCTGGTGCCAGGCCTGTCCAGGCGGCCCCCTACCTCAGCCACTACCTCCGTTACCTGCTTCTCCCTCCCTCTCGCTCACTGTTTTTCTCCTTCTGTAAGCGTGTCTCTATCTGGAAAAAGCATCAGCTCTGGAGTTAGACTGACCGGGGTCTGAGTCCTGGCTGTAACCTCACATGCACTGACTGACCTTGGGAAAGGAACTTAACCCCTCTGAGACTCAGGTTCTACATCTATAACACTGTACCTACCAAGGACGATTAAGTGGGGAAATCGTGAGGTGCCTGGTAGTTTCTCTCTCCCCTCCCCAGTCTCTGCCTCCATTTTTTTCTCTGCCTCTCTCTTCATCTGAGTTTCTCTTCTGCATCTCCCACCTCATTTCTCAACGCTGAGTGTTTTCCCCTCCCCACCCTCTCTCCACCGGTCTATCTCCTCTGCTCCTCACCTGAGGACTATTGCTCCTCTTTTTCTATTTTCACTTCTTAACTACCTGTCTCTGCTTCTTGGTCCCCATCTGGCTCGCGCGCGTGCGCCCCTTTAGCTCCCTGATGACTTCTTGTTCTCCGTGCCTCAGTTTCCCCGCGCTCACCAGTGGCGAAGGTCTGCGCCAAGCAGCGCAGCTTCCAAAGCCCGACGCTGTCCGGGTTGCTCAGGTCCCCCCGAGGGGGCGCGTAGTTGTTGCGGAGGTAGGCGCGGGGCTCGAAGCGCTGGTAGGCAGAGGCCACCGCCGCCCGGCCCGGGTCCGAGTCGGGGACCGCGCCCGCAGCGTGACTCCGATCTGCCGCGCTCATGCTGCCGCCGTGGCCCGCCGTATCCCCCACCCGCCTCCCGGCCCTTTTATTTGCGGCCGGACCCCCGCCCAGACCCCTCCGCTGCGGGGGCGGCGGTTGAGCGATGAGCCGCCTGGGGCCACTCGCGCCGCGTCTCCCCCACCGCATCCGTCTCCTTTAGTGTCCGAGCAGCAGACACACGGGGCGGGGGGGGGGGGGCAGCCGCGGGCACATCTGTTCCCGCCCCCGCTCCACACTTGCTCCCGCTGCTCTCCATCCTTTGCTTCACCTGCCCTGCTCTAAGTCCTGCTTTCGCGCCCCCTGTCTCGGCTTCCTCCCCCATAATCCTTAGATACCGGCCCCGCCAGTCCCCAGCTCCTCCCGTCGCTCTTCTCCAGCTCGCCCAGCCATTCACCCTTCTGCCCGGCATCCTATCCCTTCTCTTTTGCCAGGGTTCGAATTAGCCCTTTCCCCAGTCCACCTCCCGGCGCCCTCCCGCAAGGGCCCAGTCCCCCGCAAGTCTCCCCTTCCTCTGGGACACCTTGTCCAACATCCCCCTCTTCCTTAATAAGATCACCCCAACTGCCCTCCGCCCCTCCTCCAGGCCTCTTTTTAGTCTTTTCCTACCTCCCCGTCCCGCGCCCCCCCCCCAACCTCTGAAAGGACAGTCCGTTCCGGCCTCCGCCACGGTCGCCCCGGGGCCCCGGAGCGGAGCTCGCCCCGCCCGTCGGATGGCAGCAGCGATAAGGGAGGAGAGGGGGCTAATGCACTTAGCGGACGGAACAGCCGGGCCTCCTTTGTGGGCCCTGCGGGCTCCGAGCCGCTTATCTGGGGGCTGCCAAGGGCGGAAGGCTCGGGACGTTCCCGCCACGTCGGGGGCGCGGCACCCCGCCGAAGGAGAGAGGGCGCGGGGCGCATTCTCCAGCCTGTCAGGACCACTAGGGGGCGCGGTCCGGACCGTCGGACGCCAAGAGATTTGGGGTCCTGCCAGTCTGGGTCTTGGACCCCTCTCCTCTTCCAGCCCACACTCCAGCCTCTCTGGGGGAGCAAGCCAGGCCAGGCCTGCAGGTCTTGCTTGGCGCTGCTCCGGGTACCAGGCTGTCAAGATGCCAGGATCTCCCCTCCAAATGGGAAGTGGATTCTGCAGGACCATCTCCATGGTCTTCCTGGAGTGGGACCCCTCGAGGTCAGTCCACTGCTCCTTTGCCCTGGGTGGGCTACCAGCCCCTACCGAGGTGGGTCCCTGGCCTCCTCTGTGCCCCCGCCCCCACCTTGTCCCAAGGGGAAAGTCTCTCCTTGTTGGGAGACAGGCAGCCAGGTTGGGACATGAGTCACCACAACAGCTGCAGGGGTCATAGACAGGAACCTGACCCCCCCACACACACACCCAACAACCCACCCTGACTCTGAGGGCAGGGAGGGTGGACCACCTGATCCCAGCCAAGGATTGATTCTGTCTGGATTCAGAACTGAGAGGTAGGTCAGCCTTGGGGCCACTGACCCCATCCACACCAAGGCACAGCCAAGGACAGTCCTGGTGCCAGCCCCCTCCATATTCTCCATGAGATTATTTAAACAAACCCTGGATGCCAGCTGGTCTGTGGGGCACTGCCCAGTGCCAGGGGGCTGGACACGGAGGCCAGGACTGTGCAGCAGAGTCAGGGTATGGAAGGGGCACTGAACAGACAGCTACCCTGTTTCCAGCTCCGTCCTGCCCGCCCTGCCAAACATGGGGCGTACCCACTAGCTCTGCCATATTTAGCTCAGATGCAGGACCTGTTCCCAGAAGTGAGCATGGGGGACACCACTGGGCTGGCCCCCACAACCACAAGGAAAGAAACAAAACTCTGGAACATAATTGAGCATTTATTGCAGCACTAACAGAGGGTGCTGGGGGCTCCACCCTGCCTCTGCCCTCTTCACGTCCCCCTCCCTCCGGTCTTCTCCAAGCCTCCTTCCCAGAGCATTCCAGATCCCCCTACACTTGTCTTTGTCCTTCTCTGAAGCTGAAAACTGGACCAGGGTCACTCCTCTCAAGAAGGGACCTCTTGCCCTCACCAGTATCTTGTGTCCCTTCTCCTGGGCTGGGGGAACTCGGCTGTACTGGCCCCCAGCTCTCCACCCTTAGTGCCCCCCATCTTTGCTCCCCTCCCTTTGGGAACTCAGGGGACCCAGGCATTCTGGCCTCTGGCTCCCTCCTCCCCTAGCCCCCAACTCTGGGCAAACTACAAAGCATCCATGGCCAGCAGCTCTCCTCCGTGGTCCTAGCCAGGAAGGGCCCAGCCCAGGGCGGGCACGGTGGAGCCCAAGTCACAGTCCCCCTCAGCCTCTCTGTGCTTCCTGGGACATGGAGCGGGACAGGGAGCGATGAAGGGCGCCGGGCTTGCTGACAGGCACCACAGGGGGCAGCTGCTTGGTGATCTCGGCCACATCCTGGCGGTCCACACACTGGCCACCCAAGGCTGTCTCCATTGCCAGCAGCTCCTGCAGCTGGAGGGGAGTATCCTCGCGCTCCTCCTTGGTGCCCACCTTGGTGGGGGTGAAGATGGGCAGTGGCAGCACCCGCTGGTAGGGCAGCTGGTACTCTTGCAGCCCGCGGCCGAGGATGCCCATACGCATCACCAACCACGGGGAACACTGCACCAGTGCCTGGCACTGCCCCTGCCGGTGGTAGGTCTCATGCCGCTGGGTATCCTCCTCATGCAAGGAGCAACTGGGAAGGAGAGGGGAGGGCGACACTGAGCTCCTGAGACCTGTAGCCCTCCAGTCACTGACCAGGGCTGGGGCTGGGCAGGGGGCTCCCTGGGGCTGCCAGGACATGGGGCGCAGGAGGGGTGACTCCACTTCACTCTTCCCAGTGGGCACTCTCCTTGCCCCCACCCCCAGAAACTTCTCCAGGGCTTTGTGCTCTGGCCTCATAAGGCTCAGGGAGGATGCTCTAGGGGATGAGAGGAGGGACCCCTAGCTGGCCAGCACTCACCCCTCCTCAGGCCGTGTGGACAGTGTCAGATCCTTCCATTCAGCCCAGAAGGCCTCTCTGCGCTCGCAGTTCTCCTCGGACACCTGGCAGCTCAGCTCTGAGGTGGCCATGGTCACTGCTCACTCCCTCTTGGCTCTGCTCCTCCCAGGCCCTTTAAATAGCCCCCTCCTCCCCCTCCTCCAGGGGCTATTTTCAGCCCCTCTGGCGTCATATGCTATAAGCAGAGCCAAGACTCACTGATGCAGGACTCTGGGCCCAGGGTGGGGGTTGGGGTACCTGGACTTGGGCTACCCCCAGGTCAGAGGTCAGCTTCTGAAGAGATCAAGATGCTCCAGTGGGGGCGAGGGTCCTCAGAGTGACACCTCCAGGTGTCTGACACTCCTTAGACACTGGCTGAGACCAGGCACATGCCCAGCCTCGTGCCACCTTGGCACTTGCCCTCTGCCCCACCCCTTCGCCCTCACCCAGGGAGGGTGGCAGCTTGTCTGTAAACAGAGCAGGAAACAGTGGGAACTGAGGCCCCCTCTGGGCTCTGCACCAGGCCATCAGGTCTGCCAGGGCTCAAGGGCACATCTCTGGGTCATGCCTGTCGACAGGGACAGTGCCACCACGTCCTCAGGTGTCTGTCCTCAAAGACTTGGTCCCTGACCGCCACCACCACACCAGCAAGGGTTCTGGAAATTAATTCCAAATGTGGGCCCCTGGGCACAAACCTCTGCCAGGTGTTCACCTTTCCCACGGCCGGTGGTCAGAGACGTGGTCTCCAGGTGGAGCCAGCGAGGGTGGAGGGAGCAGGCGCAGGAGGTGGCCCCCAGCTCTACCCCGACCCCCCCAAGTGGAGTGAAATGGGGTGAGCTAGGGATCCAGGGGCTCTGATGAGTGGTAGAGTTACAAAATCTGGCTCTGGCCCCACGTCAGCCATAAATAGGCTGTGTGACCATGGGTCAGTCCTTGCTCCTTGTCATTTTCCCCACCTTCTGGTCACAATGGCCTGACCAGAAGAGCTCTGGGACCTGCCAGCTGCAATGTGCCACCTAGGAGGAGCCCAGCTCTTTCACGGGGGACAGGATGGCAGGATGGCAGCTGGGACAGCCCAGCGGCCACGAGTAGCAACTCATGGTGCAAGAAGCTGGCACACAGGGTGGTGGGCACAGGGGGAGGAGGAATGAGGGCATCACCAAGTGGACAAAGCAAAGGGCAGCAGCAGAGGCGGTGACAGGAGCTGAGATGAGGACCTTGTGGGGAAAGCAGAGCTCCAGCAGCTAGTCAGGACACCCACCTGGGGCAGAACTGCATACCGGTGATTACTGAGACACCATGCCTGAGTCTTGCTTTCTTTGCATCTTACAACAGCCCTATGACTACTGAGCCTCATTTTTACCAAGTAGGAAATGGAGGCTGAGAAATAGATTTGCCCAGGGTCACACACCTAGCCAGGACCAAGATGGGACACCCCTGGCTCTAAGCAAGTTGGCTCCTTTGGAAGCCTGGCAGGGAGGGAGGGGGGCACGTGTGCTGGTGGCCCAGCACTACCCCGGCCCTCCTTGAGATCTGACTCTCTGCTGCCCCTAGTGGTGTGATGGGACAGAGGGGTTAGCAAGTGGAGCCTGAGAGGCCGAGATCTCACAGGTGCCTCAGGGAACTGGAAGCCCAGGCCCTACCTCCAGGCCATTCAGTCTTGCGGCCCCAGGCACAATCAAGGCCTGCTGTGGGTGCTGTTAGGTCTCTCCTACTTCCCCTGAATCCTGGAGACCTTAACCTGACCTTCCCTCACTGGAGGCCTGGCAGGGGGGCGGGGCATTTTCCTCTGACCAGTCATCTGGCCAGTCAAACCATTCAGAGAAGTATGTGTGTGGGGGGTGTTCCAGGAACTGGGTCCTCACTGGCTCCGCCCTCCTGTGGGCTTAGGAAGGGTGAGGGAGGGTGTGAGAGGGCATGTGAGGTGTCAGCTGCGGTGGGGGCTCACTCCTTCCCCACCTCCATGGTGCCGCCCTCCTCTCCCCTTAGGAGGCCAGGCTGCAAGAGTTGCTTTCTTCTTTTTTTTTAATTGGCTCAAATTACAAAGGTCCCCAAGGAGGCCCTTGGGGGGAGGGGAGAGAACCTGGGAGAGGCAGAGGTTTACTGCCAACACCCACCATCCTCACCTGCCCCCAAACAAGTGCATGTGGAAAAAGGTCCCAGACCCTTTAAATAATCCTAAAAAACCGTGATGAGAGAGCAGGAGATGAAGGGGCTCCTGCACCTTAACACTGGTGACAGCCTGCCCTTACCTCCGTCCTGCTCAGGACCCTGGCCCTCCTCCACCAAGTCTGAGGCTCCCATTCCAGACCCTGCCCCTGGCTAGGGAGGAGACAGCGGATCTCCTCCCCCAGGAGGCAGGGATGCCATGTAAACATCAGCAGGACAGACCCCACTCGCCTCAGCGGCAGAGCCCCAGTGTCCAGATGCTTGACCCTACAACCTGCTCGCGGCCATGGGTCCCAGGCACAGCAGAGCGTGGTGGAGGGTGGTGGCTTGGGACCAAGATGCTGCCACGGGAGGAAACTTCCTCTTCCCACTGCGTGAGGCCAGGTCCTCTGTGGGCAGCAGGAAACCCAACTGGCCCCTGTCTCTGACTCTGGAGGCTGTGGCGACAGGACCCTGGCCCGCAGGGTGGCGAGGGGGCATGGTTATGCCCGGACCCCCAGCTCTCCGATGCGCTGCCGCAGGTGGAAGGCAAATTCAAACATGGTGGCTGCAAGGCTCTGGTGGATGAGGTACCGGGGCAGGCGGCCCTGGGGGAAGGCAGGATGAGGCTCCAGGAAGGCTTGTCCTCAGCAGGGGCTCCCCCTCAACAACTGGCACCAGCAGGGGGTGCTCTAACCAAAACGCAGGTGCAGCTCTGGAATGCAGCCTAGGACACCCTCTCGCCCTCACTCCTGGCAAGAGGAACATGCTGTGCCTGGGTCTTGGCACCAGCCAGGCAAACAGACCCGGGAGGGGCTGGATTGGCAGCCAGCCACCCTTCTGGGGCCTCAGGAGTCAGAGGTAAGAAAGGGGAGGCACAGGCCCTCCAGCAACTCAGGGAAGACCATCTGGACCCTGTCCCAATTTTAGAGTAAGAAAGGAGGCGGAGAGTAGGGGAGGCCCTCAGCAGGGCAGGGAGCCCCCAATGTCACATAGCAGAGCCCCCTCCACTCCACCGAGTCTGCCTCAACAGCCCCAGCACCCCTACCTTGAGATCTGTATTAAGGATCCAGATGAAGGTGCAGACTCGGGGGTTACTGGCCGACTTGAGCACGATGAAGCCCCCAGGACCATTCTCTCCCCTAAGGAAAGAGGCGCCATTGGGGAGGGGACCTTTGAGCCAGGAAAGGCCCTTGACCTCCCTCCCCCATTCTTGGCTCATCTTGGACTGGGGTGGAAGAGGGAAGGGAGCTGCTGGTCTAGCAAGTGCTACGCTGCCTGAGCAGGACCCAGAACAGGTGTCCCAGAGGCCACAGCCCTCCACCTCCACCCACTACATGATGCTCAAATCCTCCAACAGTCTGCTGATGTTTGCACACCCCCAGTGGCAGGGAGCTCACCACCTTCTCAGCTTTCATCCACTCTCTTCAGGGACTCTAGGCTGTGAGGGGGTGGATTGGGCAGACACTTCTCAGTCCTGCCCAACTCAGGGAGCAGTGCAGTGCTAATGGGCTCCAGGAGGGGGCACCTTCTCAGGAGGTGGTCAGGAACTGGGCTGTATGGTTCACAACCCCTTGCCATTTAACCCACACACAGCTCCACTGAGCACTCTTAAGCCCACTCCATAGATAAGGAAGTTGGCACTCAGAGAGGAAATGAGCTTGCCCATCACCCAGCAAGTCTGTAGTGGTGCTCTCTGTGGAACCCCAGGAAGGATGGGGAAGAGAGGGCTATCTGGAGGGAGGCCGCCTACAGCACTGGAGTCTAAGATTAGACAGCAGAACTGGAGGATGCCCCGGAACAGACAGCAGGAAAACTAACCCCTCTTCCTTTGGTGGGACTTCGGAGCGCTCCGGGAGAAAGGCAGGGCAGCAGGGACAGGGGGAGGGGGATGAAAGGGGACTCGACTCTCCTCAGGCAGGAAGATGAAGCTCCAGAACTCAGAGCCTCCTGCTCAGGTTGCCCAGACCAGCATGACCACATGGCTCCCAGCCCTCTTCCCCAACTGGTCCCTACCCACGGTCTACCCCTGGCACTGCCTTCTGGCTTGGGTGGTGTGGCTCCAGCCACCATCCCCCAGTCTCCAGCAGACAGAGCAGCAGATTAGCAGGATTAGGGGCCGGGACAGGAAGGCAGCCTCAGCAGGAGACAGTGCCCAGATGGACATACTGTACCCTGCCCTGTCCTCACAGCCACCAGGGGAGGGGCCGGCGGGGATGACCCTGGGCAAGGCAAGGCTCACCTGACGTATTTGTGTGTTGGGGGCTTGGTGCAGTGGGTGGTGGCGATGCCTGATGACAGGTATCGGTCTCTGCGCCGCTCGATGCGTCGGACATTCACAAAGTCCCTGGGGGAGGGAGGATTAGATTGGGGGCGCCAAGCCCAAGATCCAAGGGCAAAAGGACTGCCTGAGAGGAGGGGGCGTGCTGGGTACTCACCTTGGGGAGACCACACCGCCCGCGGCCCCCGCAGACACATCGTAGGAGACGAGGGTGTTGTCTTCTACTCGCTGTAGGATCTGCGGGCCATCAGGGGAGACAAGGTGCAGCCCAGCCCAGGAAAACCCCAGGGACAGGGTCCCAGCACCTCAGGAGACCCGCAGGCCTGCTGTCTGCTCAGGTCTCTTTACTAAGAGCCTTGTCCGTTCATGGGCCTTGGGCTGGGCGTTCTATGGGCACTCCCTCTTTCCATCGCCCCTACCCTTTCCAGGAGGCACTATCACCATCATCCCCACTTTACAGATGGGGAAGCTGAAGCACAGAGCACTTCAGTGACATGACCCCGGTCCCCTGGGGGTAACTGGTCATGCTGGGGCATGACTGCCCTGACCCACCATGTCACTCTGTTTCTACCCTGAGAGGTGGCCAAGCCGGGCCCCCTGGCTCGGCTCACCTGGCAGGCAGTCACTGTCTTGTTCCACAGCACCATCCTCTCGGGCTGCAGGATCACCTCCTGGTACACCAGCTCCGCAGGGCAGGGCAGGAAAGTCTGGGGCAGGGCAGGCAGAGGGCTGGATGGTGCCAGATGTGCTTGGGAACACCAGCCCTTTCCTCTTGGTGGGGAGAAACCTGCCAGAGGGCCCCTCAGCCCCTTCCTGGAGTCCCAGACAGACCAGGAGGCTCCAGGAAACCTGCTTCCTTCACCCACCTTCAGGATGAATGTCTTGCCATGAAAGGGAATCTCGATGGTGTACACAGTGTCCCCATATTCCTGTGGCAGGGACAGAGGGGTAGCAGGGAGGTGGGTGGAGGGCAGGGGCAGGGCATGGGGCGGTGGGCTGGTGGCACAAGAATTGGTGACAGGCAGGGCACGTTTTTAACAGCTCAGGGTAGAAAACTCCAGGAGTTTGGGGATATTTGAGCAGCTGTTAAAAAACAGTGGTTTTGACAAATGTCCAGCAACAAGGAGAGAAAGCTTTGTGATATCAAGTTAAAAGACAGGAGCACAGCTGGAGCTGCAACCACGAAGAACTGTGTCTCCAGGCCGACAAGCGCTGCCAGAGGAACTGGCCAGAGAAAGGGCTGAGGATGTTTCCCTTCTATTTTTCAAGCTCTCTGCCATCCTTTTAGATAATGTTTTGATCATGAAAGAAAACACCAGACACAGGGCAGAAGCCTGGCTTCCCCTTCAAAGCAGGAGCCAAGGGAGCAGAGCAGCAGGGAGGTGAGGATGGTGGGGGCGAGTAGCAGGGGGAGGGGCAGTGGGAACATCCAATCTCGGCCAACCCCAGGGCCCAGCCCTCTCTCTTGGGGCAGGAATATGGTTCCAACCCATGCAATCCTTGGGCTTATTTCTCAGGCCTCAGAAAAGGGAGGGAAAACTCCCAGCATGCATGGGCAGGTCAGGTGGGATAGAGGTCTCTTACATTATTCTTCTCGAACTTCCAGTTCTCCTCCTGGGCCAAGATCTGGTCCACCAGTGCTGTGGCCTCCTTCCCCTGGCGGATGTATTCCCATTCCTGGCCAGGGATGGGAGGCAGGAAGGGGTCAGCCTGGGGCCTGCACCCCACCTTGTTTGTGGCCCTGTCTTTCTCTAGACACTCCACACACCTCTTACAGAAGCCTGACCCAGCCAGACATGGGGTGTGGGCTGGTCTCCTGGGCCCTGCGGGGTTCCTGGGGTCAGGGGCTATGGTTGTTCCTCACTGGGTCCTTGGCATGAAGCAGACCAGTGCGCCTGACTGATGGTAGGGCAGAGACTCAGACAGACACTGACTGGCATTCAGGTTGCCTGAGGCCTACCCTCTGCTAGGAAGCCCCTGCCCGCCCTGGCTGAGCCCAGCACTGGCCCTTCTCCGGGGTGCCCCCCAGAGGTAGGGTGGGGGTGGCAGCCAAATACCTGGGCAGAGAAGCTTTTCTTCCCGACAACTTCATCCTCTGATTCATCATCAGAACCTGCAGAGAGCGAGCGCAGATGACAATGGGAAGGGGTGGGGAGAGAGTGGGGAGGTAGTGGGATTTAGGTATAAGTGCAAGGATGTGGGGGCATAGAAGTGTGTGTGGGAGAGGGCTGCTGGCTTTCCCTAGGGAGCTGATAGAAGGAATAGAAAGAACAGACCCAGCCTCTTCCACTCCTCATAGAGCTCCTCCCTGAAGGCAGTTCCCCCACCCACCACCCTCACCTGCAAAGGATTCTGGAGGTGAATAGAACTGGCCCTCGGACAGAGCACCGGAGAAGAGTAGGGGTCCGCGGGCGACAGCAGCCTGGGCAGCAAGATACCCTGAGGGAGCAGACATGGGCAGGCATTGTCCCAGACCGAGGACACTCACACCTTAGCAGCCAGCACCCCCTGCCCCCCACCCCCGGCTCACCCTTAGGCTCTTGGAGGCTGCTCAGAGTTGGCAAGATAGTTCAGAACTGCCTCGTATGCCTGAAACTCTCCTCTCTTGGGGCTGGGATGACCCTCACTGCACCCCTTACCCCCAGCACTCACATCGCTCCTCTTCGGCCTCCTGGGGTAGGACTTTGAAGTCAAGGAACCAGGTCTCCAACCAGGCAAGGACAAAGGAGACGATGGGGAGCAGGTAGCCGAATGCCCCTTTGCTGAGCAGCTGTGGAGGGAGGGGGCTGAGCTCCATGGCAGGGGGCCACCCCAAACCCAGAGCCCCCTCCTGGGGTACCAATTCCAGCATACACCCCACTCCTGGTACCAGATGCTTGGGGACCCTCTGGGGCACACGCCTCTCAGAGGGATTAATGAATTCTGCAGCAGGATAAACTGAGGAAGAACTTTCTGTTCTTGGGGTTGCAGCAGGGCAAGTGGGGGAATACAGCGAAGATGATTCCTTAGAAATATCAAAGGACAGGATTCTCCCCCACCCCAACCCTGACAACAGGGGTAGACACCCAAAATCAGAAAAATGGTCCCTTCTTAGGAGAAGCCCATCCCTCAGGCCAGATACCCACCAGACCAGCCAGACCCTGAGCCACTGACCTCAGAGAGAATGACCTTGACAATGAGGAATGCACTGGACACCAGCGTGGTAACCTGCCCAGGGGAGGGAAGGAGGGAGATAGAGAAAACCGAGGCTGGGGAGTGAGTCCTCCTCCGTCCCCTCCCTTGCACCAGTCCTGCCAGGGCCCGGGAGCTGCCAGAAAAGTGGCATCTTACCGCAATCACCCACCAGTGCCGGAGCCGCAGCACAGCGTAGCCCAGGAGCAGCCCCGAGAAGCGGAAGAAGGCCAGGACCTGGAGGGGGTGCAGGGCGGGAGGTCACAGGTCAGCCAATGCCCCACGCCCCCCTCCAGTCCTGCTCCCCCACGTTCCCTCCACATGGTGTGCACGCCTTGGGAGAGAACCGCTGAGTCAGGGTTTCTTTGTGACCTTCTTGGACAGCGGTCTTGTCTTCCCCCTCCCACTTGAGACTCTCTGAAGGTGAGGCCTCATTTAGGAACCTTTTGAAGACTGAAGATGGGAGCCAAGTCTCCCTGATCAGATTAGGATGTGTGTTGCATTAAGAAGAGAACACAGCCAGAGTCATGTCCCTGCCCCCAGGGCCCCCAGGATCCTCTAAGGCCACTCACAAAGATGTCAAAGAAGGAAGTTTTAAAGTTGTAGTGGATGATCTCCTGCTCCAGGTTCTTCCGGATACCTGTGTTGGTCTGGAAGAGGGAGATATGAACAGCTCTGCAAGCAGAACCAGGTCCCCGGGGCTGCCCCTCACCTCTGGGAATGGGGAGAAGATAGGGGGAGGGTGGAATCTGGGGGAGAGGCTGTAAATGCTAAGCCACCACCAAAGGAGGCCCCCAAAGCACCAAGAGAGCTCAGCACAAGACCCCAACACTAATACCCCAGACAGGCAGGGCTGGGCTCAAGCACGGATACTCGTGGGCACACTGCAGAGGAAGGGGTAGACTTGGGGGTCTCGGGGCTGTGCAGGGGAGGCGATGGGCCACAAGCAGGCAGGTAGGGCTGCCAGACAGGGTACTGGAGCCTGCCTCTCACATAATTTCATCTCCCTCCCACCACTATAGTGCTCCATCTTCCCAGCCAACCATCCATCTGGGGCGATGGGGGCAGTGGGCAGTGGTGTCAGACAGAGCCCCAGGTGGCAAATCTAATTGATTAGGTTTATGCTTAATGGGCAAAATCCATCATGCTGCTGGAGAGGATGGCGTGGAGAGTGAGCAGACTTGTCCTTGCCCCATCCCTGCCCCAGCCACCCACACTTTCAATGGGACCCCTGAGACCTTGGCTGGGGAATGAGGGGTCTGGATGGACACAGAGGCAGACTGTAGCCTGAGTCCTCAGGAAGAATGGGGTGACAGGACTAGGCAGCAGCCCCCTGGAGAAGGGAGGACACGAGGGGACTCAGGGGAATGAAGCCCAAGAGCCCTGATGGGAAGACCCTTCACAACCACCTAGACTGGGGCTTCTGATCTCTGGCAGATGATCCAAAGTTTGGAGGGGAAGGGCTTGTTAAAGACACTGATGTTCAGGCCACAGTCTGAATCTCAGGCTGAGCTGAGCATCTGGAATCTTTATAAAGCTCCCAGGTTATTCTGATGCTCAGAGCAGGAGCCAGCAGTCTGGACAGGCCCCTCCCCCCTTGACACTCCAACCCCCTGCATGTCCCCACCTCGTGCATCTTCCTCAAGAATACCCTTGGGAGTCTGATGCCCCCTGCCCCTAGCCTGACACGGAGCCCAGCCCAGCCTGGCCCTTCTCTTACTCCTCAGATTGTTCCCTCCTGGGCTCTACAGCCCCTCCCACCCCTAACAGTCGCTGTCATTCAGAGCTCTGTCCTCTGTCCTTCTCTCTTTACAGAGAGCTCTCCCTCCACCTGGGTGCCCGCCTGTGCTGACTGCACCAGGACTCAGGAGAGCCGGGTTCCAGCCCCGGCTGTGCCAGTCTCTGGCTGTAAGACCTCATGCGGGTCTTATAACCCCGCTAGGGTCCTTGTACCCACTGGGCGACACACAGTCTGTGAGAGAACTGAAAACATATGTGTTCCAAAATACGAAATTAGAACCACAAAATTGAAAATTAATAAAATTTTAATTAAATGTCTACCAAGGGAAACATTATGCTAACTCTACTAATTGTTAAATCTAGCATTCTGAAACTTTTCATTACGTTTGACAATAATTTGAAGGTTAGATTTTCTCACTTTGCAACAATTCCCAAGGACGCATGATGACTGCTGAGCTATTACAGACAATACAGCCAGATAATTTCAAAAGGAAAATTATCAAAATTTTTTCAGCTCTTTTTTGGCAAGAAAATCTCTACTGAATGCAGGATATGGGTGAATTTTAGTGCTTGCTTTGATGTTGGATGGGACTTTCCAAAGGACGATTGCCTAAGACCTCAGCTCTTTAAAGGGGCCTGAACCTTGCTTGGCCTCGGCTTTTTCATCGGTAAGATGGTCCCTAAGGTCCCCTGTGCCTGTGGCTCATCCCGCTGAAGTGCCAGCTCATCTCTGCACACAAAGGACAGTCACCCTCAGAGCCCTGCCTTGCCCTCCAGCTCAACATGCCCAGAATCAAACTTATCCTCTTCACTTCTAAACCAGCCCCTTCTCCAAACTCCTCACTTCTACCAAAGTCATTGTCTTCCTGTCACCTGAGCTTGAGACTTCAAGGAAGGGCACCTGCCATCCAGAACTCTGACCCACTTTGCAGGAGGAAAATGAGGGGAGGCTCAGAAAGGCTGAGTCTCTTGCTGAGGTCACAGAGTTAACACAGAAGAGGAGCTGGGACAGGACCGAGCCTGGGATGCCCTACTCCTCTGTGGTCAGGTCCTGCTCCGCCCTGCCAGCGCCTGGAGATCAGGCCCACCGCCACCCAGACAAGCACTGCACTGGGGGAGGGGCAGAGACCCTGCACTGAGAGGCAGCTCCAGGCTGCTAGGTGGCATCTTACCAAATCCGGAGAGGCCAAACAGGCGCACTGGAGGAGTGTGCTGGGAGCCACTGGGAACTGGGAGTTTTTACTGGTTTGCTCCCCAGTGTACCCTCTGCTTTAGCACAGTGCCTGAGACACAGCAGGGGCTCAAAAAATGTTTGCTGAATGAATGAATGAGTAAATGAATGAATTGAGCCAGAGAGCAAAGTAGGGCAGAAAGAAGACAAAGCTTTCAATAGCTCAACCAGAGCCTGTTGGGCTCTCTCCTCCCTTCTCAAGAGTGTCCACTAGGGGGCACTAAGGCGCAGAGGTCAAGAGTGAACTCTGGAGCCAGAGCCTCTGGGTTCAAACTGCCTCCTTCACCTAGGTGCGGAGAGACCTCAGACAACTGACTCAACCCCTCCCAGCTCCATTTCCTTCTCTGGAAGATGAAAACAGCTGTTCTTATCAGCCTATTCCTCATTTTACCCGGAAATGAACCCCATCAGAGAGGCAACCCTCCCATGGCAGATGGACGAACTGAGGCCCAGGTGAGCCCCCAACACAGCTTGTGCCCCCAGCCTTGGCCCCACTCACATTCAGCTCAATGATCCAGAGCAGGGAGATGAAGAGCAGGTCGAAGGTGACAAAGAGACAGAAGGTGCGGCGGACATCAGAGATGGCCCGGCGCTTCTCAGGAGGTGGCGGGAGGAGGTGCGTTGAGAGGCTCTGGCTGCCAGACAGTGACAAGCCAAGGGAGGCCACGGCTGGCAGGCTGCACTCCAAGTCGCGGGCAGGCTCCCCGGATGGTTTGTTCATCCTGGTGGGCCCCCACCTCAGGGCAGGGAGGGCAGAGCCTCAGCGGCAAGGCTGGGGGGGAGGTGGGGCAGCTGGGTCAGGTCCTGCCTGTCAGGGGCCTAGAGGTCCTGGTAACCTCCTTCATCCCTTCACACACTGCCCTCAGGGACCCCATTTGCTCCCAAACATATCTGCCCCCTCTTCCTGACCCAACCCCACAGCCCAGGGACCTCTCCGCCCAAATTCTCTCCAGCGGCCTGACTTCCAGGCTAGAGGGTTTGAGGATCCCTCTCTCTGTCCTCCTTCCTCACCAGCCCCCTGCAAAGCCCAGCGGCCGCATGGTTCACCCTCAGAAGTCTCTGGGGTCCTCCCCGATGCCTAGGGGCACAGCCTGCTCCTGCCAAGCCCTGCCCCGTGCGTGGTTCAGCCTCTGGTCTTGTCAACAGCCTCTTGGCCTGCCCACACCCCCAGGAGATGAGGGCCCCAAGCTCTGTTCTTTGTTTTCCAAGCACAAAGCCACATTCCCTCCCAGCAGCCAGCCCTACCCTCCCACCCACTAAGCCATGGCAACTGGGAGGGACTTCCCAGAGCTGTGTCTCTGAGTGCTCTGCACTGGGACAGCGGGTATGGAGGGAGGACATCTTGGTCCCTTCTCTCTAGCTCCACCCCCCCCCTTTTTTTTTTGTGAGGAAGATCAGCCCTGAGCTAACATCCATGCCAGTCCTCCTCCTTTTTTTTTTTTCCCCAAAGCCCCAGCAGATAGTTGTATGTCAGAGTTGCACATCCTGCCAGTTGCTGTATGTGGGACGCGGCCTCAGCATGGCCGGAGAAGCGGTGCGTCGGTGCGCGCCCGGGATCCGAACCCGGGCCACCAGTAGCGGAGCAAGCGCACTCAACCGCTAAGCCACGGGGCCGGCCCTAAACCGGGTATCTTGAGGGGTACTGTAGATATTAAACCAATTTGCTGTTTTTCCTGTTTCACTTGAGGGGTGACTCGGGGGTCTCCAGGATTTGTGAGCCTGTTTTGCAGGAGAAAGAGAATGCCTTCGGGGAGGTTGTGATCACGGGATGGCCGAGATCACCGATGGGCAGCCCTCAGCAGCTGTTGAAGCCCAGAAGTCAGATTGCCCAGAGGCTTATCAGGAGTGACCCCTTTGTTTCCCTGAAGCCCCTCCTGCCAAGTCCCTTAGCTCTATAAAACCCCCCTGCTTTCTGTTCTTGGGGAGGCGGATATGAGCGAACCCAGGCTCCCACCTACTCGTTTTGGCCAATTCAAATGAACCTTTCTCATCTCCAAGCACCGATGTCTCAGTGTTTGGCTTGCTGGGCATCGGGCACACGAACTTGAGATTAAGAGGTTCGGTATCACCCTCACCCCCACCTCAAGCCCGACCACCATCTTCTCTGACTGGACAGCTACAATGTGCTCCTAACGGGTGCATCTCCAGGCTGCCTCTCTCATCCTGCAACAATATAAAATCATCCACAAAACAGCCAGAGAGAACTTTCAAAACATAAATTAGATCCTGCCACTCTCCGCTTACAACCATCCGAAGGCTCCCCAGCAGTCTTAGGATAACAGCACCCTCCTCACCATGCCCTCTGTCTGGGCCCTGCAGGGTGTGGCCCTGCCCAGCTCCTCTTACAGCTCCTCTCCAGAGGCCTGCCCCCGTCTCACTCCCACCGTCACCCTGGTCTTCCTTTAGGTCCCTACATGTGGCAGCCCAATCCAGCCTCGGGGCCTTGGACCTAGCTCTCCCCACTGCATGGAATGCTCTTCCCAGTCCTTTCAACTGGCAGCTCGAAAGCCCTCTCCTCAGACCCTGCCACCCTCCTGTCCCCAGTCACAGTGTCACGTTATGTTACAGGGCTTTACTTTCTTCAGTGAAGCCATCACTCTCTGAAATGATCTTGTTGACTGTTCTGCAAACTCCATGGGGGCAGGGCCTTCACCTGACTTGGTTGCTGCTGTCTCCCAGTGCCTGGCACAATGCCTGGTACCTAATAGGTACCGAATAATTGATTGCTGAATAAATGGATGATCCAGAGGGTCTCCTGGCCCTCAGCTCCATGCTACACAGCAGAGAGGACCAGGGCGAACCCTAAAGAGAATAAGAACCAGTCACCACCTAAGGTTAACCCAGAGCTCCCCTGCCCATACAACACTGTGCCCACGTTTCATGCCCACACAGGGCAGGACAGTTCCTCCTATTCCACAGATGAGAGAACCAGAGAGGTGAATGGACTTATCTACCCCTTAACTGCCTGTGCAACCATGGGGCTGAAATTCTCATGAACCCTAGAGACAAAAGGGGCCCCAGAGCACTCCCTCCCTGCCATGCAGCCCCCAGGCCTAAGTATCTGCTCCACCAATGTGCTGGCAAGGGGCCCTAAGAGGCCCTGTCCCCTGGGCGAGGGAAGGAAAGGTTCAGTCTAGATCCAGAGAAGAGGTGACTCAGCATGGTGGGGTCTGAGCTTCTGGGAGTCGGTCACGAGTCTCCCTGAGTCTTCTCACATGCCTGCTCTGGGGGGCAGGTTTGGGGGCTAGTGGCAGGGGAGCCCTAGATGTTTGTCCCTGATCCCGGGAAGGCAAGATCTAACCTATCTCCCCTCCTGATCTGCTGTCCCCTCCATAACTTCGCTGTCTACTACCTTCCGCAGTGCCCTTGATCTACTAAGTCCAAAACAAGCCCCCAGTCTGTGGCCGGGAGGAGGATGGCAGAGGCCATCCCTCTGCCTCTGCACAAGCCCCAATGGACAGGAGCTGACTGTTCTCAGCAGAGGCACCAGCCCAAGGCCACCCCCCAATACCACACTCTTGGGGTCCCCATGACAAGCTCATCTGGAGGGTATTGAAGGAAAGCTGGGCCCAGCTCTGGAAGGAGGCAGTCAGAAGAGGGGATGTGTTAGGGCGCTGGCAATGGGACCCCTCAACATCCATCAGCTGGACCTGATGCCAGACTGCACACTGCGCATCCCTCACTGTGATGGGGCTGCAGCTCCGGGGCGGGTGACCTTTCCTTGTCTCTAACAGCCTCTTGTCTCCTGCCAGACCTGTCTCCACCTCTCCTCTTTCCAGTCTCTCCCACAAACTGCCTTTCTATCTTTCCTCTGTCTCTGCCACCCGCTCCCATGTCTATCTTTATTTTGCCCCCTCTTTGGGTCTTCCCCTCCATCTCTCTCCTATCTATGAGTCTTGCTCTCCACCCCATCAGATCAGTCTCTCTCTCTTTCTCCAGTTTTTTCTCACATTTCTCTCTCTCCTGCTCTTCTCTATCTGCCTTCACCCTGTCTCTCTCCCTCTTCCCTATCTCACTGCAGGGCACTGTGGCTTCTCTCCGCCCAGTCTGCTCCCGCGTCTGTCTGTCTTTCCCCCTGGCTTTCTCCCTCCCTCCAGGGGACAGGACTTGGGAGGCAGCAGCTTGGGTGTGAGACGCACTCGGAGTGGCAATAGCACCAACACTCACACACTCAGACATCCCTGTTGAAGTGAGAGAGACAGACGGGGGCTGAGAGCAGAGGTGCTGGGGAGCCCGGGAGAGCTGCAGACGCAAGGGTGTGCGGGAGGCGAGGGTGTCCAGGAGGCAGAGGGAGGGGGATCTGCATCACCCTCCCCCACGAAGCAGCTCAGAGTCCAAATAAGCGAGAGCCTGTCGAGTAGAACAAGCACCGGTAAGGGGTTGGGGCCTGCATCCTGGTCCTGAGGCAGCTGCTAATCCCGAGTAACTCCGGGCAAGTCCGTCTCACTAAGACTCCATTTCTCTATCTGGGAAAAAAGTCCGTGGTTTTTTTTAAATCCCTTTTTTAAGCAAGAGAAACTTCTAAAAAAATAAAACCTTACTTGGAACCTCAATATGTAAAACAGATAAAACAGGACTGCTATGGGTCCTGCCACAGAAGGCGGCCACAGAGCGCCCCACTGGTCAGCCTTTCCTCAAACTCCAGGGTCACCCAGGGCGCCTCCTTGGGTGCTGTCCAAAAACTGCTCATTCAGACGACTTCAAAAGGCCTTTGAGCTCTGTGAGACCGCCTGCCAGTCTAAGAGATGAAACCATCTTGGCCTGGAACTGCCCTTAGCAGTCCTCAAAACACTTGTTCTCTGGCCCCCTGGCCCTGGAGGGGGAAGGTGGCAGCTGCCAGTGGAACAGCTAGGCCTGGCCTCCGCCCGCCGCACCCACCCTCCTGAGGACAGGAGGCAGCAAGAGTGTGGTGCGGCTGGAGGGAGACAGCAGGGCTGCCACCCAGCCCCTGGGAGCAGCACCCCCTGCCAAGCCCACCGCCTGCTGTCACCACCCCTCCGGAGCGCCTTCAGAGGTGTCGGGAGTAGAAGAGCACAGGTGGCGTGAAGGAGTCTGCCTGGGATGGCTTCAGACGTGACACTCAGTGTGCGTGTGCGGAACCCGAGCTGTAAGGCCTCGGGAGAGTGGCAGGGAGGGAGGAAATAGGAGTTTATCGTCCTAGGCTGGAAGGGAAAGAGGGGTAGGGAGGAGTAGGCGAGTCAGGTCTGGGCACAGTGGGAAACTCCTGAGGCAAAGGGGAAGGGTGGGCACGGGCCCTCACGCCCCCTCGCTGGCCGCCTTCTCGCCCCAGGAAACGCTAGGACGAGCAGATTGCAGTAGGAGCTCTTGGGTGGGGTCCTGGACTCAGGGCAGACAACAGCAGCAGCTGATACCATGGAACTGAGGACCGGACTCTGAAGTCAGGGTTCAGATCTCAGCCTGCCCTTACTGGCTGTGCCATCTGGGGCAAATATAACCATTCTGAGACTTGGTTTCTTCAGTTGCATTAAATAAAGGCAATAATAATATACTTAATGCCACAAATTGTACGCTTAAAAATGGTTAAAATGGTAAATGTTATGCTGTGTATATTTTACCACGATGAAAAAGGCAACAATGGCTACCTCCTAGGGCTGGCACTTACGTAAGTGTCAAAAGGAAGTATGCCAGGTGCTTGGGCAGTGGTGGTTGAGATGGAACAAGCAGCTGGCAAGGCCGTTCAGGTGAGAGGGAAATTAAGTGTGTGTGTGGGGGGGTCACAGTGACATGTAATAAAATCACCCCCTAAGGCCT